TCCCAAAGTGCTGGGATTACAGGTGTGAGCCACTGTGCTTGGCCAAATCTGGCTAATTACTAAAGGAGCAAACAGCCTGAACATCTCCCCCCAGCACACTCAGCATCTCATTACATTTACAGGATTTGGGAGTCTGAATAATCAGAACTGCTGCGAGGAAATGAAATGTCAGACTGTTTTGACCTATTGCTATGGGAACTTAGTGAATCTCCCTTAACCCCAGCCCACAACACACACACACACACACACACACACACACACACACACACACACACGCTACACACCATTCTTCCCATCTATGCCCTTTTTACGTGAAAAGTATTTGAAGGTAATATTAGGGAAGACGTATTCAATTATTAAGTAATTAATATATTATTAAATGATTATAATCATAATTTATAGTCATATGAAAGAATGTTAATATGGAAAGATATCCAAGACAAATGGTAAAGGCACATATAGAACAGCAAGTCTTGTGTTCCCAATTGTGTAAAAAAATGTGGATAGGGAGGAGATGGATGAGTATTGTGGAAGTTTTCTAAAAGGATAAAAAAATATTGATAGTCATTACTTCTGGGGAAGGAGATAGGGATCTGGATGGGAGGAAATTAGAGTTTTCATTGTATACTCTTGTATTCTCTGAATTTTTAATGTGTATATTCTTTAAAATACCAATAAATACATAAATGCATTCTTCAACTGGACACCTGCTTCTTCACAGCATATCCCCTACCCAAGCCAGAAAATCTTTCTTTACCTGAATCTCCTTGGAATACATTTACAGTTGCAAGCATTTCTTTTTTTTTTTTTTTTTTTGAGACGGAGTTTCACTCTTGTTACCCAGGCTGGAGTGCAATGGCGCGATCTCGGCTCACCGCAGCCTCCGTCTCCTGGGTTCAAGCAATTTTCCTGCCTCAGCCTCCTGAGTAGCTGGGATTACAGGCGTGCGCCACCATGCCCAGCTAATTTTTGTATTTTTAGTAGAGACGGGGTTTCGCCATGTTGACCAGGATGGTCTCGATCTCTTGACATCGTGATCCACCCATCTCAGCCTCCCAAAGTGCTGGGATTATAGGCGTGAGCCACCGCGCCCGGCCTGCAAGCATTTTTCGATTAAAAATAACCTCTCCTGGGACTTGCCTTACACTACTAATGATGATAGAGAGGGAGTAAATGAACCAATGTTGCTATTTGTTAGATTTCTGGTGAGTGTTAGTGGGTATAGTGGGCTGAATGGTGGCTCCAAAAAAGATTTGTCCACATTCGAATCCCAGGAAACTGTGAATGTTACCTTTTATGGCAAAAGATATGATTGCGTTCAGGATCTTTAAAGGAGGATCATCTGAGGGGGCCCTAAATGCAATCACACATATCCTTATGAGACAGAAGCAGAGGGAGTTTGGAGGGAGAAGGGGAGGAAGCATTGTGACCACAGAGGCAGAGAGACTGGAGTGATGCACCACAAGCCCAGGAATCCTGGAGCCCCCAGAAGCTGGAAGAGGCAGGGAACAGATTCTCCCATCTGAACCTTTGGAGGGAGCACCTTCCTAGCGACACCTGACTTCAGGCATTTGGCTTCCACACTGTGAGAGAGAATAAGTTTCTACTGTTTTAAGCCACCTCATTTCTGGTGGCTTGTTACAGCAGCTTTAGGAAACTAATACAGCAGGGAAGAAAGTGCAACTAATAGCTAAAGTTTGGTTTTTGGATTCCGTAAATGTAATCATGGTTCTTCTGGCCCAAATAATACCAAAAGTTGATAGTATTGTATTGAGTCATATAATTCTGTCATAGGCAGTTCAGTTGTTACTAATGAAAGCATAAAGTGGTAAGGTTCTTGTCAGTAAAAATATTAGAGGCTAGATAAGCACCTGGGGGGTGCTAGTGAAGGAATTCCTGCATTGGATGGAGATGGTCTAGTAATCTCAGATCCCAACTGTATGTGCTAGCATTAACCACATGTCAGAATAGTACCAGCTGCTAAAGAATCTCCTGGGTATTTCACAAAGGTTTATAGTCAAATTCTGTATTCTGTAAAACATTCTTTTACTACAGAAAACATTCTATCACACTATTATCAAAAAGACTGACCTGGAACTATTATTGTAGGTAAAGCAGATGTTAATTGGTGTGCCTAGGATTTCTGAAATCATGTCAAGACAAACCACCCTAAACACACACTTATCACCCATGTTCCCAGAGTCCCAGTGTGGCAAGTTTTATACTTCACATAGGTTTACACTTCATGTAGTTTGGATATCAAAGTGACAAAAATTTTATATAATTAAGGAGTACAACTTGATGTTTTGATATATGTATACATTGTGAACTGACCACCACAATTCAGCTTATTAACTGATGACATTATCAAAATGGAGTCACTAATGTCAAACTCTAACAAACAAAATGGAGCTGAGGCCATGGAAGAGGGGCCCTCATTTGAGTATGCCTATGATGGGAACTGTGCAAAAAATTCTTCAATACCGCAGTATTCCAGATAAGCCACTTACACAAGGATACTCACCCAACAATGAATGTCTCCACCCATAAGCTATTGCCAACTCCTGCAACAAGCCCATGTAACCGATAGTCTTTGTTTCAAAAGAGTTTACATGGACTTCTGTCTTTAAAAGCTTCTCCTTTGGCACAACCCCTTTGGATGAGCCTGTAGTCTACCATGGCATGCATATCCCAGATTGCAGTCCCCTGCTATTTCCAAATAAACTCTGCTTTGGAGAGTTGGTCTCTGTTGCTCATTTTAGGTAGACATATCTTATTGGTTAAGTTTACAAGCCACAGGATCAAGAAACATTTCAACTAGACCTTCATCTAAATGAGATCCTAAACTTCAGGTCTTACATGACTGGAGAAGATTTTTGGTCTTCCTTGAAGAGGGGCTGTGTATATTTTGTGTGTAAGATAGGAGCAGATATTCTTGACCAATTCACTTTCTCTAATATGAGAGTATTATACCAGCCATGTTTGCCACTCTGTAGGTAGAGTATGCTTCTCCAGTCTCATGTTAAGCTTGACCATGTGATTTGCTTTGGTCAATGGTATATGAACAATTTGATTTACACAGTATTCAAGCAAGAGCTTTGAATGTGCTTTCATGGTATATGGTTTGTCTCTTGCTCCTGCTCGTCACTATAAAAAATGTATGTCCCAAGTAAGAGCTATTCTATCAGTCTAGTGCCAGAAAAAGAAGACTGTGGAGCAGATCCAATCCAAGCAAGCCAAGCTGAGTGGAGCAGAGCTGTGGCTGACTCCCAGACCCATGAAGAAGAAGTAACATTTGTCAAAAGCCACTAAGATTTGGAGCTTTCGCTTGTATTAGTCTATCCTCAGGGAACACTCTGGGGGTAAAATAATAGTTTGTAATATTAACTTTATTATATCCTTTTTTTTTTTTTTGAGACGGAGTTTCACTCTCGTTGCCCAGTCTGGAGTGCAATGGTGTGATCTTGGTTCACCACAACGTCTGTCTTCTGGGTCCAAACGATTCTCCTGCCTCAGCCTCCAGAGTAGCTGGGGATTGCAAATAAGCATGTGCCACAACACCTGGTTAACTTTCATATTTTTAGTAGAGATGGGGTTTCTCCATGTGGGTGAGGCTAGTCTTGAACTCCTGACCCCCAGGTGATCTGCCTGCCTCGGCCTCCCAAAGTGCTGGGATTACAGGTGTGAGCCACCGTGCCCAGCCTATAGCCTTCCTTTCTATATTTGACATTGAGGTTCTCTTGTATTGAAGAATTTAAACACCAAATTTCTAATTTCAGCTCATTTTCTTTTTATTAAAGTACTTCAGTAGATGAACAGTGTTATCAACAATCAATACAAACTTTACTGAAATATTCACAAATAAAAATCCTCTGTAAGTCATTCAAATAATGTTTTTCTATGTAGTAAAGGTAATCATCATTGGGAGACTAGTTCATTTGAATTTATTCCTAACCACAAACATAGGTTCACAAATTGGGAGATTCAACCTGGTTACCTTAATGTATGGGGCTGGCTGTCAATACCTGAAAGCTAGTCCTAGCAAGTCTGTGGAAAAAAATGATGAGTGGAAACTAATCACTTATCCTTGGTGCTTCAGTTTCTTCATCTGCACTGAGAATTAACCTTCCCTTAGAGAAGGGCTATAAATAAATATAAAATGTTAAAGCTTAGCATACTTCTGTGCCTCAAAAAGCATTCAGGAAACAAACAAAAATGAAAAAAAGAAATAAAAATAAAAAGCATTCATGTACATGCTTTTAAAAGGGCAATTTCTTTGTTTTTGACATAAATTGAATACTATCTGGCCTTAAAATAAATTGATGAATGACTACTCTTTCCTTGAAAATTATCTTTTTACTCAAATCACATTAAAATCATACTAGCCTGACCATAGATTAATTTACAGAAGTCGTGCTTAGTAAATTATTTTGATTGCAATAAAAACTACCATCCTACTTAGGTAAAATTTACAAATTATTTTAAAAAATTTCATACATTACTTAACATTCTCCATGACCTATCCTTAAAGACAGAAATCTTGCTACTTTAAAGCACAAAGAGGTAAAATCCAAGATTTACTTATTAGATTTTGGTATAGCTCCTTTGGATACTGTCAAGTATTTTATTCATGATCTCCAGATGAGAATGTGGTTGACAAGGGGCAGAGTAAATAAGCAAATTTTGACTAGATCTCCCAACATAAAGTGACCTGGTGCGATCACAAAAAGATTCAGTAGTGCCTAAATTGGGAGAGGGGGACAACATTTATAATAAAAAAGCTTGAAGAGGCTGGGTGCGGTAGCTTATGCCTGTAATCCCAGCACTTTGGGTGGCCAAGGTGGATGGATGACCTGAGGTCGGGAGTTAGAGACCAGCCTGGCTAACACTGTAAAACCCCGTTTCTACTAAAAATACCAAAAAATTAGCCAGGCATGGTGCCACATGCCTGTAATCCCAGCTACTCTGGGATTACAGCTTGGGCAACAAGAGTGAAACTCCATCTCAAAAAAAAAAAAAAAAAAAGCTTGAGGATACAGACGGTATAATTGTGGGGCCAGAAGAGAAATAATATGATCCTAACTAAATCAGAAGCTTTTCTAAAAACCTTGTTTATCTTGAGAAGTATGTGGTCCTGCTGTAAAAGAGAAATATAAAGAGGCTGGTACATCAACTCTTATATTTTCAATGAAATGTGCAATACTTTTAGGTAGAAGCAGTATTGCTTAAATCTCCACATGATACTTTGAAACTGCTGGCAATAAAAGGGGAAAAATCATTAATTAACACTGGAGAAAAAGAAAAATGGTAAGCTGTGAAGCTCTTACTGTTCTTTTCAATTAGAAAAATATATTGATCATGAGCACAAGTGGACATACCATCTGAATAAATAAAACCTCCTATAGTTAACTTGTCATTTAAAAAGTGAATAGAATGAAAAGGATAATTTTCTGCAATGTACTCAGCCATTTTGAGACTGGAGTCATTTAAGAAAAATACGAAACATCCTTAGAGAGGGCCTGATTATTTCATATTGGTTGTGGTGCTTTAAAAATGGCAGAGCATTCCATGCCCTATACAGAGTACAGAAGGAAATAATTTCCACATTGAATATAGATCTCTTACAGAATAAGGGAAAAAAAACACTTTTCACGACATACTTTTCTATAACATGCAGTATTGAGGGAATAGTAAATCATCATCCTTCACAAAGAAGGTGCAGGTGCTCTAAAATAATCTTAGAGCTAATGATTTTAGAAAGAGGTTGTCCAAATTTGAAATTCAAAATGCAAACTTAATTTCAAAGTTGGTTTTTCCAAACCTCTGATAAGTCCTAGGAATCCAGGGTGAGCAAGAAGAAAACTTTCTCCCTATTTTATAACTTGTACCTCCCACTATCTGTGACAAATGCCATGGGTTAAATGCCATAACAAATTTCCTCTTTAAAGCCAGCAAAGTCTAGCCTGGTTCTAGTCAAGACTAGACCAGGAAGAGGTCCCACCAAAGAGCTTGTCTAGGATTGATCCACAAAAGATTTCCAAGGCCAACTGGGCACCAAACTGACCTCAGGGTAAGTTGATCATTTTGTTGTGATTCAGGATCCTACCCTTGCACCATCTCTAGGTCCAACAGCCCCAAGAAGAGCCCTGAACTATACTGGATGTTCTTAGGCTGATCTCCCTGTGACAAGCATTCCTAGAACTGGAAACAAAGTCTGTATGGACAGGGTAGGCAGAGCACCATTTATTGGAGCCAACCTCCATCTATTGATGCTTGTTGACAAGAGGTTAGTCAGTGATTCTGGAGCAGCTCCTCCCAACAGATGGGCTGTGAAAACACCTCTCTCTCGAGCCAGAGCTCATATGAATAGTGGAAATCTTCAGGCAGATCCAACCTCTGCCCCAGCACACTCTGCAAGCAGTTATCCACAGGTGAAAATTCAGAGTCCTGGTGTCTGTCATACCGACGGCTGTTAAAAGCCTCAATGTTGGCCCTCAAGGTACATTCTTCTGCTTGGAAATCCCATGGCCTGGCATCGATGTCTGTGTTGAAAAGAGAGGAAGAAAAAGACATGCAAGACACTGCTCTTCTTCTTCTTTTTTTTTTTTTTTTTAAGTAGATACAGGGTTTCTCTATATTGGTCAGGCTGGTCTTGAACTCCTGACCTCAGCTGATCTGCCTGCCTTGGCCTCCCAAAGTGCTGGGATTACAGGCATGAGCCACCGCACCCAGCCAACACTGCTCCTTTTACCACAGAGCATCGTATATGGGATTCCAAAAATGAAACTGCTCAGAATTCTATTTTTTTTTTTTTTTGTAAAGAGCGATGTACCAAATAAGTATATAGCATGCTGACACTTAGGTTTAAAAAAATACACATATGCCCAGATGCATAAGCTCGTATATGCAGAAATTATCTTTGGAAGGATAGTCTAGAAACTGGTAACAGTGGTTACCTACGAGAAAGGAAATGAGGGTCCAGAGGGAGGTAGACTTCTTCTATTGTATTTCCTTTTCATTATTTCACTTTCTTATTAGTTTTATGTATTACTAGTTATATGTATTATGTTTTCCAAAAGGGTAATTAAATATCTTTTATGGAGCTTTTCCTGGGGGATGAGAGTGTCCCATCTGAATGGAATCGCCGGCTCTCAAGGAATGGGAAAGGGCAAGAGGGGTATAATATGGAGAATCAGAATGGACCAATTACTGAAGACTTTCCTGATTTCTTGGAATCTCCTCCAGCATGTGATAAATCTGTATGCCAGCTTATTTTAAGATGATGAGGTGATGGCTTCAATGAAGGTAAAAACAGAAAACAGATCATGTTTTGCTTCTATTCACTTAGACACTTATTTCAGGGCTAAAGATACAAATCTCCCAGATCTCTGATGTCCTACATGCAATGGTTTATCATAAGGAAGTGTAGTTTGAGTTTGGGCTAATAATGGCAGCAACAACAGATGTGCCGTTTGCAGGATAAAACATTTTCATCTTTTAAACATTTACAAGATTTTAAATAGATAATTGTACCTTATATCTTAGAGTAAAAGTTGCATCCTGGCTTGTTATGCGCCTATCATATGCTTCCCTTAGTTCTCTAAACCCTTATTTAGTGAAAATACAGTCCCTCACTACCACAAATTATGCAGTTGAGTTTCCCACATTTGGGGGAAATAGCAGGGGTCAGCATATCTGGAGTGCAATGGATGAGCCTTGTCCCGAGAAAACCACCTTCATCATGATGGTATTTTCCCTGCCAGGTAAGTAAGTATAGTTCTCTTAACTCTTTACTGCATCAACCTTTAAAATTCAAGCAGGTTACAAACCCAGCAAAGACAAGTCATTACCAAAAATTCTCAAATACAATTATGAAAATACAAAGGTTAAAAAAAGCTCTCTGAAATAAATTTTTCCAAACTCTGGTCAATCTTACAAGTTCTGTTAGTTAAACCAAATATCTTGCCTCCTGATATAAGGCAAGATACACAGTATGTATATATATACAAATATACAAGATGTACAGTTCCCAAGATTACTTAGGACATACTACAGCCAAAAAGGTTTAAATTGAATTCATCTAACGTTTAGATTTAACTTTTAAGTTTATCGGTAATACCATAGATAGAGGAATAAAGTAGATAACACCACAAAGAAGCATACAGACAAATCCAGAATGTGAGTACTTTGCAGGACAACTGGCCTAGTTCTTCAGTTAGTTAGCATTCATGGTGGGGGTGGGAAGACTGCTAGAGGCCAGGCATGGTGGCTTACGCCTATAATTCCAGCACTTTGGGAGGCCAAGGCGGGAGGATCCCTTGAGCCCAGAAGTTC